TTGGGCCAAAAGTTACAATTTCCTCTAAATTGCATCCTAGCCTCTCATGCTTCCTAATGCACACACCCCCTCCTTTTTATACATGAAGGCACCTCTTCTCTTTCCTCATCTAACCAATGTGGGACTTAGAAACAACAACCTTCCACCCCCCCGTTTTTTGTTCCTTCTACATTCTCTTTTTTTTAACACACAATAAAAAATTATTTATGTATTATATCTTAACTAAATATTGCTTATGTGATTTTAAATTAAATTTTAAATTTATAATTAAATACCTAACCATAATATCATTTCTAAATAACCTCAAATAATATAAATTCCTATTATTATCATTTTTTTCCCTCAAAACCTAAATTCCACAATTTTTTTATTATATAAAAATCAGGATGTTACATGGGTAGCTATGGCTGCATCAGTTTCATCCTCTATTTTTGCTTAGTTAATTTCCTCATTCTACTGCTGACTTCGCTGATTGAGGTGGGTGTTCGGGGTCTTATTTTTCTCGTTGAATATGTGAGTGTATTATGTGGTTGAGTTGTGGCTTATTTCTTGTTGCTACTATGCGTAAATAGGAGGAGTAATGGGATCTAAACAAGCTGAAAATTTAGTTCTAGGAGTATGATTTTTGGTAGATAAATGCACTTGTGCTTATGCTGAAGAAGAGGAATTAGATTTAATTTTCTTTAAGGTTCAATTGAAATTTTTTCCTATTAAGGAATCGGAATTGGGTTGGTTGATTGAGTTCAATATCAATTTTGTAATTTGTAGGAAATGAGATTTAAGGGTAAGAGGCTTGGTGTTAGTCTGGGAATTAATGAATGATAAGTGTTTGATAAAATTCTTCTAAGATAGTTTTTCTTGAATATCTAAGATTTATGAAATTTCACTAGTTATTATGATAGATACATTTAGTTTGAGTATTATTGATCCATGAATTTAACTTGTAGATTATAAATTAAAAGAATTTGATTATTATGAATTTGTATGTAACTTTAATTCTTGGGGATAGAATAGTTATTAATAAAGTGTTGGATAAAATATGGTAGGTTAGAAAATTCTAACTATATGGTTGGAAACAATGTACTGAAGAGAAAATATTATCTTAAGTAAATAGGTTGATATGGCTAAACTATTATGGAGGAAATTGGTGACATAAATGATAATACCTAAACATTATTATCTATAAATCTAAATTGAACTTTTGCAAAGGAGTTCATTAAAGAAATTATTGTTATCTTATCTAAGCTCTGGAATTATTGAGAGTTATAAGGTTGAAGAGTTTACAAGGTATATTATCAATTGAGAAGTCATACTTGGATGTTTGAAATGATTGGTCAAGAAAATTAAAGGTTATATATTTATTCAATGGTTTGGAATGTTGTACATTAGATGTTTAGTAAAAAGCCTAAGGAAAAACTTTTATGTATAAATTTTGTTGTTAAAATTTCAAATTTTTTTTTTATAAATTTTGTTGAATGGATTCTCTTAAAAGAGACTTGTTAATTCAAAAGTAAAGTGCATTAAAATCTTATTATATTTTATAGGGTAATTGTAAGGAAGATACCTTAATTGAAGTTGTAAGAAATGAATTTTGAGCTTTGAAGATACTATAAATAAGTGAATAGCATCCTAATCGATTTTTCAATAAAAAAATTTTCCTTTACTAAAATAGTACATTTTTATGCAAATTGTTTTAATAATAATGATGATGTGTTTATTGAATAATTTATTTATTAAACTTCCTTATTTTGTAAAATTACTTTTATCAGTTTTAAAATTTTAATTGATTAATAACTACAAGTTTGAACTTTAATTATGAGATTTCATGCTATCGAATATTGGATTGATACAAAGAATGATTCATGCGAATTCAACTTTGAAAATAAAACTTTATCTATTATCAATGATTTTCTCGTATGTTTAAAATTAGATTTAAAAGGGACTTATTACAAAGCACTGAGTGCTAACGGCAGTTTTGTTAGTCCTTAACATGCTATGGTTAATAACTAGCTAGTTTGATTTTCGCGAGCTTTATTCTCACGTTTGTTATTCATGGATCTTGTACTCATATTTGTTTTCATGGCTTCGAGCCGTGTTTGGTTAGTATTACTCTCATAGACTGTGTCTACATTTGCTTTGAGGCTTCAGCTGTGTTTGGTTAGTATTACCCTTGAACTGTGTGTCCATGTTTGTCTTTGTAACATAAGCCGTGTTTGGTTATTTACTCTCGTAGACTGTGCGCCCACATTTATTAATTGTTCTAATAAGTCCCTATAATTATGAATCTAATCATTTGATGATTTTATATTCCATTAGTTTTTTATTTAGTAATTTGTTTATAAATATTTATTTTATTTATGGGCTTTCTTGAAATCAAGTGATATTATCATTTGCTATGATAATTTAATGATTTGAGATTTTATTTGAAATTTTATAGAGCTATTTTATTACGAAGTTTATTAAATTTTTATGAAAATTTTGTCTATTTAACTTATATAACTATTTCAAAATTTTTATTTTATTTATATTCTATTATTATTATTGAAACGTTATTCACTAAAAAATTATATTTAGTCTTAGATACCTTAGCTAACATTGATCTTCTTGCTGACCCTTGAGCACTTATAGACAGGTGGAGGATTGATTAAAATTTTTCTTTTGATGTAATTATAAATATTTATGTATCTTATTTTTATTTTATTTTAAAAACTACGGTTAGATGCTCCACATAAACTATAACTAAGAATTTTATTTTTATATATATGCTGTTTGTCGACTAGAAGGAGCTAAACTTCTGATTTATTTGATATTTTGACTACATCAATTATTGTAGGAATTTAGTCCAAATTACATTGTTTTTTATTAAAATATCTTATATTTATTATTTATACAACAAAACAAAATATATTTTAGTAGACCAAGTATGGAAAAAATTATAAATTGAGGACAGAAAATAAAATGAATTTCGAATCTTATGTTTAGAATTAAAGTAGAAAGTAGTTGTGTCCTTTAGGAGGAGGATGTGTCACCAACATTCCTTCTAGTGAGAATTTTGGCTCGTGATGCAGATGCATATGACATGGTTTATTGATTTTACCTGCTGCAGTGCCTGTTTGTTTTTAGTTTGTTGTTGCTTTTCTGAATTGCTTCTGTTATTTTGCTTCTTTTCTGGATTTGGTTTTTGTTTTTGTTGTGTTCTGTATGGGATATTGCGGTTTTTTTTTTTGGGCTTCAACTTTTAAGATATGCATTTTTTCTTTATATTTAATTCACTCTCCCAACATATATACGTTGAGTGTCGACATTTATCGTCGGCCAAAAAAAAGTGTCGACATTTATCGTCACTGATCTATGTCTTTTTTTTTTTTTTTTGGGCCAACACTGATCTATGTCTATATATGAGTCAACTAGCATGCCGTGATATATATGCGAAATTTAGATGTAATTTAAAGAAAAAAAAACACGCAAATTTAGTTCAAAATTATTCAGAGTAAATCAAAGCCTGATTGACGTAAATCAATTAACTTGGACTTCTTCCGACAAAGAAATTTTTTAAATTTATATTATAAAATGATTCATTTTCTAAGATTTAGCGCATTTATTGGCTTATTAAGATTTGAAAACGCTACGGCATGACAGGGTGTATCCTGTATATATGTGTTTTTTTTTTTTTTTTGCCGTCATTCACATTAGATCCTACCATCTTAAGCACACTTCAACTAAATAGTATTTTACTATTTAATCTCCTGATGTCGACATTTAAGGACACTCATTGCATACTCTAGACATTGAAATAACCCAAAATTGTTACGTTAAGTTTTTAATTTGTTAAATGTTAATCAAATTTTAAGTCACACAACTTTGTTAAATGTTACACTCACTTTATGTGTTTTTTGTTTTTTCAATGTCGTCTATACCTTCTTGAATTTTGTGGTGAAACAAAATCTTCAAGTTCGTCTTACAGGATGTATATGCCCACCTCATCTCTGTCAGACTTTCTCCTATTAAGTATTAACATTTCATCTCCTTAAAATTGGATTTGAATTTTAATTTGAATTAAATTTCTTAGTTGGATACTTAAAAATTCTTCTATTTTTTATCTCAATTTTTCATCATAATTTAAAATGCTTTTTAAATATTAGTTATTTGAAATATTCTTATTTTCATTATGTCGTGTTCCTTTATAATTTTGATATTAGAAAAATTTTGAAAATTTTAAACTACCCAGTCAAACAAAATATTTTAAATAAATGAATTTTAAATATAAAATTAAAATGTGAGATTTTTAAATTTAAATCCATAAATGCAAATGCTACTAAATATTCTCTTAATAACCAAGCCAAGAACAAATTAAAGCCCTCAAAACCCAAGATTCATGACTGGTGCAATTTTACATTCTCTAAAACTTAATTAACAGTTATCTATATTTTACCCTTTTCACCAGTCACTACTATCGAAGAAGAGAGCTTCCCATTTATCTATAATCGAATGAATCGTAAAAGCAACTTTGGATCATAAAACTTACAGCATATTATTTATTATGAGAGCTATATATATATATATATATATATCTTTATTACTTAAACATTACTATTTTTATCAAATGTCAAGTAATTAAACATCATTTTAGATCCAACTTGAAGATGAGTATTGTTTTACATTGCTTGGCACATCTAAAACAAATCAAAAAGTGTAGATTAAGATGATTCCTGCAAAAATGTTACATTAAAAATTCTTTTAATAATTAATAATAGCAGACTACTCTCATAATAATTAATAAACATTAGTAATGACCATTAATTTGTTATATTAAACATTAAAATAAAATACTTCATTTCCTAAAATTTAGCATCTACTAACTAATCAACATTAGTTTCTTAATTCGTTTAAAAACATTTCAGCATGTTATGGTAAATTTATGCGCGCTTCCGTTGACCTTTAGATAAACTCATAAACATACTCAAACTAAATAATACTTCAACCCTACTTTGTCCCGCCCCTGCAACTAAAGGAATAATATCACATATCCTGTTGGTGTCTGAGATGGAAGCACAAGCTCTCAGTATGCCTAAATTATTGAAATCAGCCGTGATTTCATGGAGGAAGAAGAAATCCTGGAGGAACCAAGATTTGTGGGGAAGCACCATGTGGATTTGCAGATGGTGGGTGCTTCTCAAAAGACTCAAAAGAACCATTAATATCTGTGCGAAAGATGTCCCAGAGAGAGGCCATTAGCAACTGACCCGATGTATTTAGAAACAGGGGAGAGACTGTACATCCTCTGTTTCATTCCTTGTTGATCGTCGGTGACGGAGCGGCTGGCGAGGAGACTGGGGAGACGATCAAGCATCACTGGGGCTTACGGGTTCGTGCAAGATACCATGGCGATGATTTCCTTTGCGGATAGCTTTGCAAGAAGCCATGTTAGTTTAATAGAAACCAAGGCACCAAGAATTTCTATTCTGAAAAATCCGTTGGACTAACTGGGCGTGGCTTTCCATCCAGCAGCCCATAAAGAGAACAAGGAGATGCCAAAGGCTGCGACAATGGGCTGCCTCAGTCAAAATGGCTAGACTGTTGGCTTTAATGCCACCAAAAATTTCAACAGTCATGAAAACTACGCAAAGGATCACTGCAGTCCAAAGCTTTCGCTTTGCCAATTTCTTTAGAGTCCTTAGAGATGGACCCAGTATCTACAAATCCACACGATGTGTCCCCACATACCCTGGTTCCTCTAGTATTTCTTCTCCCTTCAGGAAAATCACCACTGATTTCAATAATTTGGGTACCATGTTGAGATCTTTGTGCTTCCATCTCAGACATCAACAGGAGTTTTCGCCCCTGCGTATTTCAAGAGACTTTATATGAAGAATGGGCAGATTAAAGCCAGCGTAGAGGAAGAGAAAAGCGCGGGATCACAAAAGGTGATGCTCTTGTTCGTAGATCATCGGATTTTTCTAGTTGATCTCATCAACTCCTTCGTCAGAGTCATATCACAGGGATGTACTGTGTGTAATGACTATTTTTGTGGTTGTTTCTGAGCATTTTTTAGCTTTAAGTTAGAATGTTACACTTATATGGAATGAATTAATGATGAATATGAAGGTATTGGAGATGGGGATCATAGTGCATTCAGTGATAATATGAGTTTCTTTGGAAGCTCTCGGACTCAAGTCATAAAGCCACATGTTTCTGCTTTGACCTTTCATCAATTCTTTGAGGCCATGGGCCTTGGAAGGTGTATCACGCGGGTATGTTACTTTACTGTCTTCTTCTTTGTAATGTCATATAGTATATCATATGTATAACCTTAATTATAGTGTTCTGATTACGGCGAACTTCCATTAATATGTTCTGATTTTCTTGATTATGACAGGCGAAATTCAAGTACAAAACCATAGCTATGATATTGGTAATGTTCTTTGCTCTGACAATTCCGATGGGAATAGCCATTGGAATAGGAATTCCGAATAAGCATGATAAGAACAGTCCGAATGCTTTGATTGTGGAAAGGATTGTCAATGCAACATAGCAGGAAACTTAATCTTTATGTTGATTTGTTAGCATCTGATTTTTTGATAAACAGTACTCGTCTTCAATGTGCAGCAAATATTTTTGTTCTTCTATAGGTGCTAGTTCATATCCCTTCAAGCCAAATGGGCTTGAAGCTTGGTTCTTCTAAGTGAAGTACTAAGAATTCTTGTTAGGCTGAGAAAAAATTAATGAGCCCTCAGCCTAACAAGAATTCCTAATACTTAACTTTGAACAACCAAGTAAAGAGACATCAAGCAGGTACCTAGAAATACAAAAATATTTGCTGCACATTGAAGATGACTACTGTTTTGCATTTTATCGGTCATAAAACAGTTGTAAATTAAGATTAAGATTAAGATTCCAGCTGATGCTGCGTTGACTTCAATGATCAAAGCATTCTAAATATTCTCGTCTTAATCTATCTGACATGCAAGAAAAATTAATGAGCCCTCACCAATTGCCATTTTCTTGCATGCCAGATAGACCATGTGATGAGTTGCTAAAGCAACAGAGCGAAGTTGCAACAGATTAAAGTGCTCAATGAGTTTTACAGACATCGCCAATGAAAGTGACTGGTAACAAGAAACTCCGTTTGTCTGTGACATGACCAATGAAAGCAACCCATCACATGGTCTATCTGGCATGGAAAAACTTTGCTTTTAGGAGTTGGTTTAATAATGTTTCTTTTAATTAAATGGTTTTGACATTTTACTATTTATAATTATAATATATTTAGTGTGTGTAAGCCATAAGGCTATTGAAACAACTGCCTCAGGCCTCCAAAATAATTTCATAATGCCCCTATTATGTGTGCATCGTGATTGATATTTATATTGTTATATAATTAATTGTACAATTGCCTTATCAAAGAGAATAATTTATATTTATATTGTTATATATTTATATGTAGATTAAAGAGAATAAAAAAGTATTTGCCCAGCGACATGCGCTATGCAATAATTTGCGGAGGTTACACTGTCCTAGCATTTCTATCGACGGTACATAGTTGAAATAGAGATAAGCTCGAGCAGTTTTTTGATTTCTACTAAGGCATTAGTGATGGCCTAATCATCCAAATTCAGACAATGAACAAAAACAAGAAAACAAGAAAGATATATAAAGTCCCATAAATATTAACCAGAAAGGACCATTCTTCAACTGAAACGTAACTATGATGGTATATATGCACAAAAATGGGAACCTGGATGGAATCAGATATAAAACATTCATTTCTTAAACCATAGAATTTGGTGCGGCCTAATCTGCTTGTATTAACTGATTATACAAGAACTCGACACAACTTCATCAAGACATTCATGGTGAGGAGAAGAGAGGGGCGTGACTTGCACAGTACACCCACCCACACTGCATCGCCAACCAATCTGAATTGACAAGTCATTGTTCTTATATTAATTAACAACAACTTATCTAAATTTAACAGCTCAAATTTTGAAAACCAAATTCATGACATGTATTGTTTTATTTAATATAATACTGATAATTTGTCAATATTTAAAAAAACAAGTTCATCTTTGAAAATTAACAAAGTTTTTTTTTTTAATATTGACAAATCATATTCATTTATTAACAAATCATTATTCATATATCAACAACTCATTTCAACTTAACAACTATGAAAATGCTTGAAAACTAAATTTATAACATACATATTATTTTATCTAGCATAAATATCAACTTCTTTTTTGAATATTAACAATTCACTTCTGAATATTAACAGTTGATTGTTTTTATATTCATTATAATTTATCCAAAATTAACAACTTCTTATAGAAATGCTTGGAAAAGAAACTCATAATATATATTTTTTACACTATAAATTTTAAAGGTTTAATTGATTCAATGATCTTTTATGTTTTGGAAAATTAAGGGATCATATAGCTAGGTTCAAAACCCCATTGGCTTATTTCTAGAGTTGACCATCATTGATCACAATGCCGACGTTGTAGCTTTAATGGCCAGCGACAGTGATCAGCCTGCTAGTGGTGGTAGTCGCGTTGCCAATGACCAAATTCCGGCGCCGCGACAAGTGGTATTTTCTAAAGAAAATAAAACAAAGGACATTTAGATAATTGATTCTTGGAACTTAATTGTAATCAAGGACTTTATGCCCTTTATGTTATAATTTCTCCTATACCTTTCATGTTATAATTTCTCTTATAGGGCCTGTCTCCCATTATTATTATTTGGGAAAATTACATACAGTTCTCACACAAAAAAATTAATTATTACAAAATCTATTGACAATTGAGTTAAGGTTATTGATAACACAATTAGTTATCGATAGTTTCAGTTCAATTATTAATAGATCTTATTGTAAATTTTTTTTTTGGTATGAGATTTTAATGTAATTCTTCCTTATTATTATGCTCATGTGTAGTTAACAGTCAAGCAAATTTGTCATTTCCTCTAAATATAACATTTTCAACGTGTCTGTATGTCACATTTTAGCTTGACTGACCCTAAATTTCCAATTCAAGGTAAAACAAAAAAATTCCAATTCAAGTTTTCATCAATTCGGAGGAAATGACAATAAGATCTTCAATTGAAATTATTAAATTTTATTTTTTATAAAAATCTATATAATGTCACATTCACAATATCTGAAAAATAAGAATTCAACAAGAAATGCAGAGTAATAGAATATTCAACAATATTCAATACTAATAAAACAATAATTGGTCTGCTGCAATTCAATGATAGAAGGAATGGAAAGAAATGTTAAGCATAACAAAAATAGAAATGCGCAGTAATTCTGCCAGAGAGGAGATTCAGAGAGAGAAATACAATCATAACCAACCCTCCTCTACCTCTCGAGTGGTCCTCCTCTTATTCTTCCCCATCCAAGTTTAGCTCACGCAATTTCCACGTGGGTTTCCTAACTCTTTTACTCCTCCTAGGCCCTTCTTTATCCACTGAATGAATTAGGTCAAAGCCCATTACCTTCTCATGTCTGAATCCATTCTCTACATCATTAATATCTTGGGCTGTGACAAAAGTGGCATCAATCTCTTGGGCTGTGACATTGCTCACCCCTTTGCATTGGACCTTGTCCTCAAGGTTAAAGGAGGGATATAATTGCAATAGTTTATAATAACGTTCCCAAGTAGGTTCAATAAGTCCCTCCCACTAAACTAAAACTTGCAAAACCCACTGATGGCCTATTTGCACTTAACAAATATCTACAATATTGTGAGGTTGAATTATAGGTCCTTCAGGCGCTGTCGTGAGCGAAAGTGGCAATGTAGCATTTTAACAGTCTCCTTCGCATTTCTTAAGCAAAGAAACATGAAAGACTAGATGAATCTTAGCTGTAGGAGGTAAAGAACAATTTGTAAGCTACCTTTCCTATGATGGCTTCTATAGGAAAAGGGCTAAAATAACGCATAGCAAGTTTGTGAATTTTTGTAGTGTTGTACGGTGTTGCCGGTAGGGTTGAGCTTGACATATACCATATCCCCAATGTCATAATTAATCTTTGTCCTTTTGGAGTCAATAAAGTGTTTAAAATAGAGTTGAGCTCTTTCCAAATTTAGTTTCAAATCAGCTAGGACCGTATCTCGCTGAGATAACTACTCATGTAAGTCAAGTAGTATATCTGGGAATTCAGATAACTACTGAAGTATGGAATTCAGATATTATCTGTCAAATTATACTTATTACTTGAGGGAATTACTAATCTTCCTCTCCAGTAAACATCTCCATCACAGATAGAATAATTCGAAGAGGTATTGAGGTGGTTTTAAATTTTATTCCTTAACTTCTGTATCTCAGATGAGTCATGCACTACTGCATGAACCTGATCCATAAATGTATTCTGAGCAGTGGATAAAGCAAACAATGAAGAACGTGATAAAGCATCTGCAGCTTGATTTGTATGACCTGGTTTATACTCTACTGTGAATTGATAACCCAATAGCTTGGGTAGACAAGCTTCTTGCTCAGGCACATGATCAGTCTGTATAATGAACTGTTGCCCAAATAAATAATGTCAAAATCTTGCCACTGCCTTTGTGATAGCATATAGCTCTCGATTATATACTGATTGGGATTGCATGCATTTTGATAATTTCTTTAAATAAAAAGCTATAGGATGGCCCTCTTGGCTAAGCACCGTACTAATACTCATTCCTAAAGCATCAGTTTCCAATATAAAAGGTTTGGAGAAATTGGGTAAGGCTAGAACTGGAGCCTGAATGAGTGTTTGTTTTAAAGCATTGAACGCTTCTGCTGCCTTGTTATTCCATGCAAAAGAATCTTTGTAATAGTAATAGTTTAGTCAACGGTGCAGCCACTCGTGCATAATTCCTTATGAACACCTATAGTATCCGGTGAGACTTAAAAATCCATACACCTGGGTAACATTCTGGGGTGGTAACCACTGTTGTACAACTTGCACTTTTGAGGGGTCAACTTCCACTTCCTTACTAGAAATAAAGTGTCCCAAGTAGTCTATCCTTGTTTGTCCAAAAGAACATTTTGATAATTTGGCATAAAGTCTATGTTGTGCTAGCAGTCACAATACAGAGGCCACATGCTCTAAGTGATTAAACCAAGTAGAGCTATAAATTAATATATCATCAAAGAAAATTAGCACAAATCGATGCAAGTATGGTTGGAAAATTTTATTCATCAGAGATTGGAACATAGACGAGGCATTGGTTAATTCGAAGGGCATTACAAGCCATTCATATAGCCCCTGGTGAGTCCAGAATGCCGTCTTTTCTCAATCTTCTTTCTTCATCAAAATCTGATGATAGCCCGAAGATTAAGTTTGGAATAGTACTGCGAACCATTCAATTTATCGAGCAGCTTATCCATTATGAGCATAGGGAATGAATCGCGCACTGTGACTGTGTTCAATGCTCAATAGTTCACACAAAATCACTAAGTACTATCCTTCTTTTTAACTAATATCACTGGTACTGAGTAGGGGTTGTTACTTGCTTGAATCAACCCATCCAAAAGCTCCTTTACCATTTTCTCAATTTCTGCCTTCTGACTAAATGGATATTAGTATGGTCGTACTTGAATAGGTCCCTTCCTATCCTATAACATGATCTGATGCTCATGCTCACGTATCGATGGTAGCCCCCTTGGTATGTCAAATGCTGAGTGGAACTGCAGTATTATCTTCTTTAGCTTAGAGGATGTATTTGGGTCCAATCCTTTCAACGATCTATCACAAGCTTCAGTGTCGTCTATTAGGCTCAAAACAAATAGTTCAACTGCAGCTTCCAACTTAGCAATCCAACCATGCTATTCAATTAGGCTTGATAAATAGGTGCATTTTTTAAAACCACGTAGTGTGATAAACTGATCGTTCTTCACAAAATGGATGGTGGCTGTGCTTATATCAACACGTGTGATCCTAAAGTTTCTAACCAAGCAGCTTTGATAACAACATCCCCACCACTGGTAAAATAAAAGCTGGATTTGAATTAGATGATCACAAATTCGTATTGGCAATTCAGCAACATACCCCTTACTCATCATCACCTGACTAGTCCTTACTAACACACACAATACGGGAAATAGTGTCACAAGTAATGCCAATATTGAATAATCCGAGGATGCATGTCAGAATTGCCCCCATCCAGCAATACTTGTATTGCTATGCCATGAATCAGCCCATCAAATCAGATTGTGGCTATGTCAGAAGAGCCCCTAAATGCATATAATGACAAATGATGTAATGTCACCTCTTCTCGTTCGGTCTTAGTTGCTAATGTTTCCTCTGGTTCATCTTCCCCTATGAGCATCTTCAATTACTTCTTTGTACATCTGTGAGCAGGAG